AATAGGATTTGTGGATGTGACAGATTGGGATTCCTGTCATTCATTTTCTATGTCCTCAAAATCATTTGGTACTTGACTAATTATTCTGTTTACATCATTTTGCATATTGAACTCTATTTAATGGTCTTTTGGGTGGCTCAAATTACGTATTGGAGCTGGTGTGCTATTTTCAGTGTTACACAGAGATTCAGCTTTGCATTTGGTGTCTGATTGGTGGGAGAGCAGCAGAGCCAACCACTGGCCTAGCAAGTCGGTGTTAGAGGCACGTCAGGAAAATGAGTGTTGCAGGAGTTGAGGTCAGCATGAAATTTTGATGTACAATCAGATGGACCCATAAAGTGATCTGCTAATCTCTGAAGCTTGAACAGAGGCTGTACAGACAGTACATTTAATAACAAAATACTTCATAACAAAAATTGCTGCAGTTAGCCATTCTGAAGGTCATTTTCTTTTGACATCTGTCACATTACACAACCCTGAATTTTGGTACAAAGAATAATGCTGTCAGGCTTAAGTAGAAGTATCCCAGAATGCAGAGTGGGGTGTTGTTTTTTAAGGTAAATGGGCCCCATTTACATTAGTTCTTTGATGTTAAATTCTTTGCTACACATCAGAGAACAGTTGCTTCTCCCCTGGAGCAAGTTTTCTTTCTTCTCCTTCCTCCACCCTTTCATTTTTTTCCCTTTTTTTTTTTTTTTTTCTCCCAAGTTTGCTTGCACTTTTATCTGACTAATTATGGAGGATCAGCTTGAATTTGGCCATCACTTACTTTGTTGCAGGCATTTTGAAAAATAATTATTTCATAGCTAGTACCCTAACCAGATTCCTTCAATCTGCTTTTCTGTTAGTGGCTGCGGATGTGTAGATACAACACTCTAGACTGAGAATTATGTTTGTGGGGGCTTTGTTGTTTGTTTAGGTTTTGGGGAGGTTGAAATAAAATTGAAACACTACCAAAGCAGTCATAAAACTGTAAATCCATATATAGATGAACAGGATTTTTCAATGCATCCCTAAATTTTACAGATCTATCTGCATTTTGGGTTGCAGGAGTTAGTTTTCCTAGTAACTTTGTAGCATAATTGAAATCTAACATTCCATGTCCAAAGCTGGAAGACATGCACAGATTTGTAGTGTTCCAAAAAATTCTGAACAGCTGCATTTTTTTATGAACATCCAAGAAGTCCTAAATGCCTTCATGGATGTTGATGGAGGATGAAGTTGTCCATGTGCCTGCCAAGCCCAGGGTGCAGGAGAGCTACTGTCTGCATGTGTCACATCAACTGCAACTACAACTAAAAGTCCCCTCTAATACATCTTATTCCTAAAAATATATCTAACAGCTTTCTTAATTAGGGTAGGACATATTATGCTTTTGTGGTGTGGTCATATTGTAGATCCTTTGCTCTTTTATTAGTAATACTGTTCTGGTTCATGAAAGGAAAAAATGAAAATCAGGCTGTGTTAGAATAGCATCCTTTAATTCAGAGACCACATCTGTAGGGCTAATACCCTTTTTAATTTTTACATGCAGTGTTTTGTTGGAGTCAGTGCAGTTTTGCTCAGTAACCACAACATGATGCTTTAAGGCTTGTTATAGAATTATAGTTGGTTTAAAAAACCAATTAACTGTAACAAGGACATAATCTTTTTAATGCAAAAGTCCTCACTCTATAGTACAAAATAACTGCATGTAAAATTGTCATAATCAGATAATTTTAACTAAAATACGTATTAACTGTGTGAAACTAAACAGAAGTTAATTTTTGAATCGGTGGGATTCCTCTATGGCTTATCCAATTTAAACCTTTTGATTCTAAAAATGGTTGTTACAATTGATATTTCTGACAAGTTTTTGCCAAGTGTGAATTTCAGCAGCTACTGCTCCAATACGGAAAACTAGTTTCAGGCCATTAACCGTGTTTGCAGTGCTGCCCATTGCTATAAAAAGAGTTAGACTTTAATGAATGCTGGCTGACCCTCCAAATGTTCACCTTCCAGTTGGATTCTTATTCATTATGTTTCTGAAATAGCCTGAAAGTGAGGGAATGCCCTTAAAGTAACACAGGAGCAGCTGATGCTTCATCCAGTGCACGAGCAGCCTGTTAGGAAAGGAGCCCAGGAAAGTGCCTTGTCTGCACATCATGCCATTTATAACCTTCTTGTTTGTCAAGCTAAATCTAAGATATCCTCCACATTGTTTGCTGTACACAGCCATGTGTAGTTACTTTGCTGTCAGTCATTCCTTTAAAAAAAAAAAGGTAAAAAAGTGGGGGTTTTTGTGTGTAGCAGAGCTGTGTGTGCCCAGGGGAGCACATTTGTGCCTCCCTAGGCTGCAAAGCAACAGCCAGAAGTCAAGAGGTATTAAATTAGTTAAGTTGCAGGTTTTAAAAAGAGAAGACTTGTGTTTCTGCAGTAAAAGAAGGGAAAAGGGTGATCCTGTGCATCACCTTGAATTGGTTCTTTTCAGCTGAGCAAACTGGCAGCAAGTGCTTTCTGCACAGCTCGGTGGGTGCTGCCCGGGCGCTTGGTGATGAGGCAAGATCCATTGGGTGTTATGGAGCTGGAGGGAAGAGCTGAGCTCAGGAAGTGCCCACAGTTTTTAGTGCCACAGGGCCAGGATAACCAGGGTGAGACAGCTAGAGATCGTTTAAAAGGGATTTTGCTACCTCCAGTGGAACTTCTGCCAGCTCAGGGCTTCTGAAAATCAGACCCCTGAAATGTTTGGGACTGCAACTGAATGCAAGAATTTGTGGTTGCTTGATGACTGGGAGACAACTTATATTTTGCTAATTGGAATTTGTTAAAGCCATTGCCTTTAAAAAACCTGGTAGGATATACTTTCTTTGTCTTAGTTAGGGATAAACAACCTGAAATTCAGAGTATCTTTCTCTTGGGTCTCCTCAGTCATGTCTATCAGAGGTCATCCTGGTTCTACTCAGCGTGAGCAAACAAGCTCTAATTTGTTTATGGAAGTTGTGAGTGGTTTTTTAATTATTTATTGGGATTTTGTCTATGGGTTCAGGAGGTTATAAAGCTGCTTCTATGAAAGATGAAGACTTTTACCCCAGGCAAGCTGAGTGAGAGCAGCTGTAACATGATCTTTCAGTGCTTTGCTGACTTGTATCTCTCCCTTTCTGGGAGTAACAGTAATTTATACTATTACTGTAATAGTTTTTTTTACTTTTTTTCCCAAAGATAACCTGGCAGGTTCAGTCATTTCATGCTATGCAGTGGTGGTAAAATGTAACCTGAAACTAGATGACAATACAGTGGAAAGAGAGTTAAGGTGGGTCAGCCTGTGCCTGGCATAACTGCCTCTGTGTTACTGCTCTCTTTCTACTTCTGCAGCCCCACAATATGCCCCCGCAGTGTTTGTGCACACTTTAATTGGTAAATGTAGAAGAATTTAATTAATTTAATTTGTCTGGTGCTCCAGAATTCTTCTATGCACTGTTTTAAACCAATCTGTAATGCTATTATCTCCATTTACAGAAAAAACCCCCAACCAAAACATGTGCTCTCAAAAATTATGCACAAATTTGATAATCAGTTTTGATTACAACAAACAGATGAAATACAGACCTCCATATGTTTCATCTTCTTGTAATTGGAAGGGATTGAAGATCTTAAGTTGCAGTGTCACCTAAACTTTCAGATTATCTTTAACTGGCTGTAATATACTTATCTTAAGCTGCACTGTACGTAACTGCTGGGTTGTACGGGATGATTGGAGCCCTATCATGCTTGGCAGTGATTCACAGACACTCTCTGCAACTTTAAGCTCCTAAATTTATATAGTCCAATAAAATCAATAAGACTATTTGCTTGACTGAAGTCCCTGGGGTTTGCAGAACTGGAGCTTCAGACTTGCAACTTGATACGAGGAGGGTTCAGAGGCTGAGGGGGGGGGGTCCCGTGGCTTCTGCGGTCCCTTGGAACAGGGACTGGCACCCAGGCAGCTGAAGGAGCTTGTGTTTGTCTGTTGATGCTGGGCTGGAAAACTAAGGATGACAGATCAAAGATTGGAAGGCGAGGTCAGATAGATTTTGAAAACTTAATCAGCTTAAATTTGCTTCAGAACTCGGCTTCGTCAGATTTGGTCCCCCTAAGAAAATATTTTTCTTAGACACCTGTCCTCAAATTTCAGAGTCAAGAACAGGAGTGTGCTTAGCAGTTCATCTGAGGACAGCATTTGGGGGGTGCTCTAGCAATATAATAATGTGATACTTTGCCAGAAAAATACATGTCAGAATTGTCCTTAAATTGAATGAATTTTTAAATTATTATCAAATTATTTCTGAAATTATTTGATGAAAAAAAACTTAAGAGCTATTTTTCCCAAGAATTACAGAAATGTTTGCTTCTTGGATTCCACTCTGACAAAGCAGCCTTGCTTTCAGTTTGTTCTATTCTTTATCTTGGAGTTGAGAAAAAAAATGCACAGAGCAGGAAAGAGCTGAGTATGTCCAAGAGGTCCCAATGGGTTCAGCTGCACCTTGGGTTGATTTCCAGTATAATCACCACCTTTAAATAGGAAGGGAGGTGCCATGGGACACAAAGCAGTGGCAGAACCCAAGCTGAGACATGGAGTCCTCCATGTCAGACTATACCCTGGCAGCCTGTGCCTGGGATTTCTCCTTCCCCCTTCCCTCCATCCCTCAACGAAGTCACCCTGATCCCTCGTGTGTGCGCTGCCTCCCTGCTACACACACACACTCTTTTTTTATTTTTAATCCGCAGAAGTCTTTATGTTTTTCTAATAATTGGCAGCAGAGGTACAATTTCTCCCCTCTTTTAAGTGATGAATAGTTGGCTGCAGATCAAAGGCAAGGCCTTGTGGTTTGTTGGCTGCCACAAAAGGGCGTTGGAGCTGGCGCGGGTCCCGGCGGCTCCGCGATAGGCATGTGGATGAGGTGCCAAGCAGAGGGGTCGGTGGCAAAGTGTCTGTGCACGTCCTGCAGCTGAACTGAGCTGGGGGCCTTTTGTGTGTCTTTCAGGCAAACAGCCGGCTGAAGCAGACTGAGGAGGAGTGCAGCCAGAAGCTGGCCAAGTCCTCACAGGTAGGTAGCGAGAACCTCCCGTGGATCCATCCGGCGCGGAGACTTGATGAAAAGTGTAATTACTTCTGCTCTTGGTTTTTGATGCTTCAGAGAAGCCTCAGTCGTTTCCCAAATCAAACATCCAATGTCTGTCTTGCAGATTTTAACCTTCCAAAAAACACAGAGCATTCAGTTTGCTAGAAGAAAAGGGTGGGGATGTTTTGAATTCTAGGTTTCATTTTTCTCGTCTACTTTTTCCTCTCCTGAGGACCCAAGAGGGCCAAGTCCTTCAGTAGTCAGTGGGAAATGAAGGCAAAGTGCCTTATCAACCAGCACATCTTGTAAAACCAGGAGCAGTTGCTCAACCAGAACTTGCATTTCATGTCCCAAGGTGGTGTTGGATGGCAGGAGGGCAGTCCCAGCTGTGCTTTCTTGATGTTTGGCATTGCTTTGAGCCAGTTCAGCATTTTTGCGCAAAGTAACACTTTGAGGAGCATCAGTGTCCTGAAAGCAAACTGGTTGTGACTTGAGTTTTTGTTCTTCAGAGTAAACTTCTGAACATGGAAGATTAAAATATGTGTTGAATTTACATATATGCTTGAAAATTATAAGGCAGGAGGATTTTTTGATGTTTCAGCTTTCAGTTTGATTGACAGGTAGTACTGAAGTGTGAAAAATGATGGAGATGCAACCAGAAGTTAAGCTTTTAATAATAAGAAAATTGCCACGAGGATTTATGTGGAGGTGTCATTCTTCTCATTCCTCCCAACCACAGCAGGATGCCTGCCTCTTACTTGCAAAGTGTTTTCAGCAAAAGTAATAATAGTCTAATAACACAATTAAAATCAATAAAAGCACTACAAAGAAGGATTTAGCAGCCTCTAAACTAGGCAGAGGTGGTGGTCAGTGAGACACTGATGGGAAAGTGCAAACTTGACTGGTTTAGAAACACTTCAAAATATTTAAAAACTGGATTTCAGATTTTTAGCTACCTCTGAGTCTCAGTCTTTGTAAAACTTGTCCAAAATTGTGGCTTTAGTTGTTTCAGTGAAATTTATTGGACCATCACTTTTTTATACTTCATTTTTTGAGATTGTGTTTATCACCATAATTGGTAAATATGCTTTTATTTATATTTCCAAAGCGTAATTTTCTGCACATTAATTTGCATACAAGTAGGTTGTGAGGTCTCCATCCTTGGGGATACTGGACATGATCCTGAGCAACCAGCTCTGGGTGTCTCTGCTCTGAGCTAGTCCCTTCCACCCTCACCAATTCTGTGATAAATCAGAGAGAATATTCTCCTAAATGCCTGTTTTGTAATTTGTTGAGAGCCTTGTTTGAAAAGAAAGAAATAAACAACAAAAAGAGAACACCCTAGTTTTTAATCTTGCCATCTGAACCTGAAGAGCAGACAACTGAAGCTCAAGAAGTAACATGCCAGGCCTTAAGGAAGAGATCATTTTCATTGCTAACTCTATTTTACCTTGTGGCATTGTCATTTTTATGCTGTCGTCATGCTTAGTGAGTCTAATCAAAAGTCAACCTCTCTGTGCCAGACATGATTTACTGTCAATGCAGAAATGGGTCTTGGTCCATTTGTTAAAGACAGGTGGAATAACTTAAGCATTTCTGGATTTTAAACAAGGGGTGAGGAAAATTGCTTTAATTGTTACAGTGGGAACACCTAGGCAGTGCAGTGCAAGGTAATAACTTTTTAACCTGAATGTCATAATACATTTTGTCAGACTGAAATTTATTGGCCTGTAGAATAGTCTCAAAATGGAAAAATTGAGTCTTTTTCTTTCAGCTAGGCATTGCTGTACCTAACACACTGTTCTCTCTCTTGGGGAGGGATGGACACAGTGACCAGAGCCCTCTGGGGCAGACACAACACACACATATGTCAGAGCTACTTGGCACAAAAAAGAGAGTTTCACCCTGATGTCTGAATTTCCTTACTTTTGTGGGTTTGAATCAAATCCCTAAAGTTACTTGAATATAGGGGGGTTTTTGTAGCTCAGTATTAATAATAAGTCAGTTGCAACTTTTCTTGTGGTCATGTCACTGACAACATCTGTCCAGTCTTACTCTCAGTGGCCTCTTGGAACATTCACTTTTAACACCCACACAGAGCAGATATTTCAAGAAATTTCCTCTGAAGTTTATACAAAGTAAACAGATATATTTTTTTCTCTGAAAAGTACTGCACAAAGCAGATCTTTCTCCATCAGTTCATGCTGAAATTTCCTTGCATGCACTTCAGGACTTCTATGCTAGTCCAGAGTCTTAACCCAGTAAAAGCTTTAACTTTCACTTTTGTCTTATATTAAAGGGATTGCTCCTAATTACACCTATCCAGATAATCTCTGAACTTTGACCCACTGATCTAATTAAAAGTGCATAGCCTTCCTTTTGATTGGTATATTATCTTTTTTAATGTGTTTTTTTTGTTTTAGAAAAGAAATACAGAAATATCCTTCTAGGTTTTACTCATAATCTTTGTGTTACTCTTTGGGTAGTAAAACAGGTGAGTGCATTTACAGTAGAGTTTTAATTGGCCCTTTCCACCTTCCCCAGTGATTCTAGGACTTTAAGTTGTAGAGTATTTCTCACTATGTTATTCCTAGATCCTGTTAGCAGTTCTAAAAAAACCAACCACTATTTTTTCCTAAAGAACTGAGGCCTTAGTATAGTTGTGTGTTTCTCTGCTGCTGAGGAGGCCTCACAAACACAATCCTGAGCTCTCTGGCAGTCCCTCCCTGCACTGCCTGGGTGCTGAAGTGGTTTTAGGATTAGACTATTTTAATGCTGCTGCAGCAGCTTAACCTAAAGCTCGAATATATACATTAAAGTCAGCAATGCTCCCATATGTTTAAGTGCTTTGCTGAGTGATGACTTGTGTGTCAGCATGAAATTCTGTAAATAGGCCTGAAGGATTAGCCTTAATGATGACTTTCCACAGGGGTAAAAAAGGTGAAACAAATACATTTCAACAAATCAGGAGTGAATCATGCTGAAGGTCTAGTTTAATGGTCCTGGACATTGGATCAAATCTCCACAGTATTGCTGAGCAGCTCAGAAATATCACAATCAAGTTGAAATTTCAGTCCAGTATATAAATGTGGAGATTTTTTATCTCCAGGATCAAGCTGGAACGTAGCCTAGGAAACGAACGCCACCGTCACCCTGGAGATTTGCAGTGCTGGTTTAGTGCAGTGGAGGACTGGAAACATGCTCTGTTTTGAAGATCACAGATGTGCTTTGTTCTCATGTGTAAATATTTTGGAATGTCAGAGTGGAAAACCCTTCCAAATATTTTATGTTCAGCAATTTTGTCATTTGCAACCTTCCAGTGTTCCTTTTTCTCTGCCTAGGATTTCATACTCGCGATGTTAATGTAAAATATTTTGCTTGCACAGCAGAGTTTGCCAATGCCATGCCTGTGCCTAGCAGAAAAACATGCAAAATACACTCCTTGTACTGAGGAGAGATTCAGCATGCTGTTTTCTTTTTAGGTCATAGCTGAACTTAAGAAAACCCTTTCCTCTCTGAGCGAGGAGCGCGGCCGGCAGCAGCGCGCGGCGGAGCAGCGGCTCCAGGAAGTTGTACAGAAGTTTGAAGATAAGAAGCAGCAGCTGATTACAGATAATGACAGAGCAATCAAGGTAATCTGGGGATTGTAGTCACTGATGCTACTGGCTGGCTGAGTGTAATTAAAAGTTCTGCAGTGGGCAGATGAATGTGAGTATGGTTCCTGTTCACACAGGGCTCACTAATTCCATTCGCTGGACCTTGACTTTGATGTCTCTGGTGACTCCAACTCTTTCCTCAAGCTGCTCATATGCCTGCATGAAACATTTGGGTTTGGCAAGTCTAATCCATCCACTTCAGTTGGATATGTGAAACTTTCCTGTTCTCTCTCTTCTCACACTGACTCAGATATTTTAAAATATTTTCAGCATTTGAAAACAGAGGTGAGAAGTAGGAGAGCAGAGTTGCACCCCCAGGGAGGCAGCAGCATGGCATGGGCTTCTGCTTGGTTTCACAAGCCCATCTCAGCTGTTGTGCTTGAGGCTGCAGTGAAGGAAGGGATGTTCTTAGGTTCCACTGCAAACAAAGTCTCTGCTAAATATAAGTGGAATAAAATATTTGTTATTTTTACCTTTTTTTCTGCGTATTTTGCATCAGAGCTGTATTATGTGGCCTTTCTCAAAGCAGCTTTGAGATTGTGGGTTGTGAATATCTGGACTCTGTTCCTTGCTGCTTTGATACCCTGATTCAAAGTGACTGCAGAGAATCCCACCTGCAGAAGCAAGCAGAATTATTTTTCCTTTCAGAGTAGTAAAAAGCAATGGAAGAGTTTTGGAGCTATGTCACCTGCCATGGTTGACAACCAAAACACTTCATTAAAAGTTGTATAGAAGAAGAAAATTCCTTTTTTCTTCATAAAAACCTTTACTAGAACCAAACAAAGAATTATGTTGTTAAATCTACAAACTCAAGAAAAAAATTAAACCATAGGAATTTTTACATGTTGGAACTATCTGATGTTCAGTTAGGGTACAGTTGATACTGTCCTCTATACTTGAATGATTTGCATGGTGGAATTAGGTTGATGTTACTATCTCATCATCTGCAGAGTCTTCTGTTAGTTCACAAATTGTTTAAGGATTCTTTTTTTTTCTTAAGGAAAATGTCTGCCTTTGTGTGTGTGGAGGAACCACTGTATTTGAACACTAAGGATGATAGGTTGCATGAAATCCTTCTCCATGTGAATTTGTGCCCCACTAGAAACTTAATTTTTATGTTATTACCTCACAATGTAATGAAATACATAAAAACCACAGGGGAATCCTGAGCAGTGTCCCAGAGAGTTTTTAGCACTGTTGCTGCAACTATGTTTTATAAGATTTGGTCAACACGGGGAAGAAATTGCAGGAGCTGTTATGCTTGGAGCTCTTGAACTCTGTTTAGTGTAATTAATATTGTACTTTTTAAAAAAAAAAATCTTACTTTGAAATCACTGATTTAATAGAAATCTGCTGCAAGCCAGATACTCTCACAGAAAATTCTTAGGAAGGTGAACTGCTGTGTGTGCTTCTGGAAGCGGAAAGAGGGGTTCTTAATATTCCATCACTTGGGATTTTTAAGAACCACACATTTCTGGGTGGGCATATGCAAAAATACTTTGCTTTTTATTAGCCTGGGGGACAAAAAAAAAAAAAGGTTTTGGTGAAAATGGAATTCTAGATGTCCTGGAGATGGGGATCAACATCTAACCGAGGGCAAGCTGAAGAACTTGAGGGATGACTAAAGAAACATTCTGAAGACAAAGCAATTCTTAGTATAGTAGAAGCCTTTGAGGAGACAATATAATTTTTGAATATAATAATTGAAAAAAAAATTGGTAAAAAATAGGCATTTGCTAAATATAACATTGATTTAAACTAACATTGATTTAAACTAACATGAAGAGCAGATTGGAATTTCCTTTATATGGTATTGGGTGACTTCCTGTCAGACCTTCCAATTATTGTTTCCTTTCAAAAGGAGAAATACATTTTTACAGGAACCAACTGGCTCTCAGAGAAGTTTAGGATTTAGTGAGTAAAGTGATATCCAGATGTGAATGCCATAATAGATGGTTTTGATGTTAATCCAAACTCCTGACTCTCTTTGCTAGTGAAAGATTTCCAAGTTCTTACTATTTCATAATTATATCTGTATCCTTAGTCATAATAATTATTTTTTTAATGTGGTATCTTAGACATGAATGAAAATTAATAAATGAAACATTTAAGAACATTTTGCTGCTTCTATCAACCTAAAAAACTCAATCTAGGTATCTGTGTTTGGCTTCAGATGGCTGTAGTTTGGGTCAATTTAAGACATTCTTGATGTACTTGGTATTCGGTGCTACCCTGTGACCTGTCTGGCCTAAGGGCAAGTCAGAGTTCATGCTGAGGCATAAAATCATTATAAAATTGTGGCTCTGCACATTCCCTTCTTGTGGCTTGTAAGGTGAGCGGGTTGGATGCCAGGGCACTGCAGTGGCTGCCAGCACAGGCAGCTGAGCAGGCACTGAGCTGCTCCTGCGCTGCGCCTGAGCTGGAGCCTCTTGGCATCACGGCAGCCTGGGCACAGAGGATGGTCCCAAAGCACAGCACACCCATCAGGGCCATGGAGATGGCTTTGCTTTGGACTTACCAGGACTTGCATTCTTCAGGGCAGTGTAAAAGGACACTGCAATTGGCCTGGCATGGGGCACATCCAGCAAAGCTCACCTGGTCTCTGGGCTCCTGTCATGTGCTTACACTTCAAACATCAGGAACCACTGGTTTAGACCATAGGATTAGTTGGGAGCACAATTATATTAAAGCCCTGCAGATGCTTGGAAAAGCTGCTTAAATTCCCGTATCTGTTAACCCATTGGGGAGGCTTTAGCCTGGGATTTCAGGAGGCACCCTCCAGGAAGGGCTTGGGTGCCAAGCTCCTGAGAATGTCTGTGCTGGAGCTATGTTGGCCATTGAAGGGTAGTGTAAACTTCTTAAGGCTAAATTTAAATTAGCTTCTTGCATGCTGATAGCAATCTAGCCACAGCCACCCAGAGCTCAATACATTTAAATGGTCAGAGCATTTACCTGACTTTCCTGCTGCTTTTGGCAGTGGTTACTGGCTGGACTCAGCACTACCATAAAGTTGATTGCATTGGAGAGATACCTTGAGGATAATTATGAAATTTCAGCCTTAGGATTAGCTGTTTGTTGTTTTTTTTTAATATGAAATCCTTTTGGATTCTGGGATTGAAAGTGCAAAACAGTTCCTGGGATTGAAACTACAAAACATTTTCAGAACATTTTAATGTAGATGCTGATGGCCAAGTGGGAACTCCACATCAAAAAGTAGATTCTGGAAAGAAATGGATGATGGAGAGCATGCAGTGAGAAAGCCACAACAGAACAGGGAGAAAATGATGCTTTTCTTGCCAGAGGAACCACATTTGTTGTTTGGCTTATAGTACAGATTCTAGGATTCTGTTATATCCCCTGAATTAACACCAAAATTTTATTAGCAAAACATGGTTCGAAGACGACGTATTTCAACACTTTGTGTGTCAGCCAGCTTATGATCAGATTAATTCTGTTAATAAGTAAGACTTAAAAGATTTCTAGGAAAGAATGCCATATAATAATGTTCCCCTTTATGTGAAAAATTTTGAAACAGTCATTTTTCTTTGTTAAGTTTTAAAAAGTCGAGAGGGGAAAAAAATTTAAAATGTGGTTTGTGTCTGTAGCAGAGCAGAAGACAAAAATGCTGGTTCTAAATTGTGTGGACCCATGTGAGCATGGAGTATTCTCATCATCATCATCTATTTGTTAGATGCTGATGTATCTTGGAGCAAAAAGATAATTTCTTCTGTGCAAAGGTTGGACTGAGAGTTTTATCAGCCTGGTGACATTTCTCAGTGCAACGATAGCAAAATACTCTGTGCTCATTATGTTTGAGCCAGGCCTTGTGTGGGTACTTGATTTCCTTTTATTCTGGAATACAGTTTCCATGGGGAAGAGTTACATGGACATGACTGTTTTGGCATGGCATGCCAGCAGATTTCTCCCTTGGGCTGGCTGCCCCTGCAGCCCCAGGGCCACATGCCTGCCTGCAGCTCCTCCTGGTGTTACTGCCTGACCCCTCCTCCCTTTCAGGTGTGGTTCCCAGGAAAATTGAAAGAAATTATTTTAAACCTTGGGATGTTTTATAGCATTCAGAACATTTCTTTAAGGGCACCTGATATCTTTGTTTCCAGAAAGTAGTTGCCAAAATGTACCAAGGGTATTTACGAATGTCTCTAAAACGCAACATGTCAGGAAAACTGTCTTTTAATAATTGTGTGCACAAGCTAATTTTGTGTGTAATGATATTTCATTATCAACCGTGTTTATTAGCAAATTTCACTTTTAATTACAAATAATATTTTGTATTAAAAGAGTAAGAATGTCAGAACTATGGGAACATTAACAGTGACTGGTTGTTCAGAAGGCTCTGAGTGTGTTTAACTGACAGCAGTGAGGACATTAATTGGGGCAAAAAAGCCCTGAAAGTTTTGTGTAAACAAAAAATGAGCATCTAAACCTTAGGGTGAAGTTCAGACATATTATTCAAGGACTTCTTGTGAAGTGAGCCTTGGCTTGCTCTCTTCTCCAGCACACCTAGATGCAGCAGGGTGAGCTGTTCTAACATAGACAGCAGGTGGGTGGCTGCATAATAAACTTTTATCAATAAGACCCACATTATTTGTAAGCTTTAAAAAAAATGTTTTATTGTATTTTTATTTCAACTTGGCTGAAGTTAGCTCAATTTCAGCTAACAGTGCCTGTAAAAAGGAGGTCAGCATTTCATTGTCAAAGCTGACACTGACTTGTGTCTGACAAGACATCTGGTCAGAATGTGCATTACTGTGTGTGATGGTTCCATGGCCACAGACATGCCAAGTTCTGTCAGTCACTGGAGATCTTCAGAGATGTGTATGTCACAGAGCTCTCTAGAGGGGTCTCAAATCCATCTCATTGCTTTTGTGGCTGAACTTGGCCGTGAGAAATCATTTGACATAGTGAAACAAAGAGTTTTAAGGAAGCATCTTGATGTTAAATACAAGGAGTCATTTTTC